GATAGAAATGTTGTAACATAAGGAAGAAGAGAGAGAGAGAGAGAGAGAGAGAGAGAGAGAGAGAGAGAGAGAGAGAGAGAGAGAGAGAGAGAGGAGGGGAGTAAAAAAAAGCAGCGCGACATCCGACGGTTTGGTTTTCTCTCAAAGAAAACAAACAAGGGGGCGGAGTTGGGAGAGATGGTTAAGGGAATGAGGAATCAGGAAGGAGGAGGAAGATGGGCATGAGAGCTTCTGAATTTCACCAGTTCTGGGTCCATCGGGTCCAACATATCTAGCGGGTCCGGCGTCCCCAATGGCAACGGCAGCCGACAATCCCCCCATTTCTTATGGTCCACCATTCTCACATCAGGTAAAGAAGCAATTTGTAGGAAGTATCTATTTTTTTATATCGAAAAAAAAAATGCCACGTAAGAAGTCGATTAGATCGGTTTTTAGAGATCACAGCACAAAGATTTTATATAAAACTCACCTAGCAAGAAAAACCAATTGTCGGTCGTGCTTATTAGCACGGGCGTTTTTGAACGCCGAGAGTTTCACACCAGATCGAGGATTCAATGCTGTAGTAATTTGAGAAAACAAAATGGGTCCCCCCGCATGAGGCAATTAATTTGGACTTGGAAGAAAAGAAAAGAAAAGAAAGTTTGGGAGATTGGAAAAACTGATGCGGACCAAAGTTCCGACTCAAGTCGTCCAGATGGACGGTATTTGTTTCGTTGTAGGATGGTATCTTCCTCCAAATCAGTTCCAGTGCCTTGACCTAATCAAACAGAAGAGACAAGATCAATGTCGTGAGTTCCTGGAGAGCAAAGAAGGGCGATAGGGAGATACCTCGTGCTTGGAGATTTTTCCATGCCTCACTGAAGTCACTTCGAACATGGTTCCACGATCCAAAACTGAGGATAGATACATGGACGATGGGAGTTGTACCAACAGGCCAGATGGGAGCGACCGATCAACAAATTACGCAGTTTGGCAACGCTGGGTAACCCATCAAGTCATGAATGGAAACATCGTACCGAATTGGATTAGATATTTATCGCTGTAATTGCCTCCGACCATGCCTAACTCGACCAATTTACTTTCTAACCACCGCCAACTAGTAGCCGACCAAATGCAAATCTGATCAGGATGAGGAAAAAAACCCTTAGTCAATAAGTAACTAGCATAACATCATACCAGCGTTTAATGCAAGGGACCCCCTCTCCCGAGGAACTTACATCATAATAAGGCCAAAGGGCAGTGAGAAAGTCATGGAGGTCTATATTCACCACGTCAAGCAATTTTGTGTAAAAAAAGAGGGAGCGGAACAAAAAAGGAGGTGTGTTCAAGTTTTAGATTACCAGATATATCGCACTCTATCGCCAAGTGCTGGAGAATAAGTGAAGATGTATCTGATTGAAGCGCATCATAAATTGCTTACAGGGCCTTGCCATATCTAAATAAGATGATCAAGCAAGCATCAAAAAATATAGAAAAAAAAAATAGTGTATGAGTTATCGTGGCAAACCAGCAGGCAGTCTTTAGGATATGTTGGCTCACCCAAGGCGTGCACTGAGTAATCACTGTAGGCTTTGGAGTCCATCAAGGTATACTGTTTCATCGATATCCATAGTGCCAATTCCTTTAATCCTTATTTTCTGCGTAAATTGACCCAACTTATACTCACATCTAAATCAAGAACAAGCAACTTCTTTCCTGGTCGTGGTGGATTCTATTTGCGTAGAAATCGGGCATAATATGAGACATTGGGTTAGACTTCTTCTGGGTTTTCCGTACGAGCTTGAAAAAAACGGAAAAGAAAAACATCGGATGAATGGTAGAGGATAAACTGACGTACCATAAAGTTCAATTCTCTTAGAGGAGGAACAGGCGATCGATATATTCGGGTGAAGAAGAATTAATGTGCCAAGAGGGGGGGATAACGTAAGAGGGGAGACTTCTGAGTCTGCTGATATTACCCACTTGAATCTTTCCCATTCTGCCACCCTTTTTCACAAGGAAATAAGAAAAGGGGGGAACAAACAAGGTATTGGAAATTTGGTCCAGTTTATCCCGGACCCGTTTCATGTACAGAACGCAATCTTCTGACTGTCGAGCCTTGCGAATCGAGTGAGAGTCTGATGGATCGAGCTGCACGTAGAGCAAAAGTTAAGGAGTTGAATACAGTCAAACAGTTGTGATTGGGCCGAAATGTAATCACACAAGTGAGGCTGACTGTTGAGGATGAGGGGCCTCCGGGTTGTGTATTAGGGAGACATTCGTCCTCCGAAGTTCCAAGCAACTTGAAGTGGACGCCTTTCTGGAACTCACAATCAGGCAGTTTAGGTTTCATGCTTTTTTTTGGGGGGGGGAAAAAGGACAGTGGAGATACGTACTTTGATTTTGAATTGAAGGGTAGATAGGAGAGCGTCATCTGCGGGGATCTGACCAAGGACGAGGCCAAGGATTTTCTGGCGTTCTGGCGGGACAGCAGTGACCGAGTAGATGACGGCCTTGAGGTCCCTGATGGTGACCATTCCGTCAAGGGCAACGTTGAACTATCTCGATTTTCTCAGTCACTTGAGATCCTATCAGTCAGGAATAGATTCATGACCCACGTTGGAATCTCTCCATGAGAAAGTCAATTCTAAGGCTTCTGATGGCGAGTCTTCGCCATCTGGGGGATCTGGAGCACCGCCTTGCAGCTGCCGATCAAGAGGAAGCTGAGCTTGTTGAGCGCGATCGGGGACTGGAGGGCTTGGGGATGATGGTTGTTGTTGTTGCTGCTGAATTTGGGGATTGTTGTTCTCGAGCTTGAGTCGCTTGCTTGGTTCGGCCTGTTCTTCGTGGGCAGTCCTGAAATGGTTTTCGGCAGTCTTGTCCTCTTGGTGCTCGGTGGTGCTGCTCTGCATTGTTCTTGTTGGTTCTTCTTGGAACTCTTCGGGTGTCGTTCGGCTGGGTGTATGCGTCTCGCACCGCACAAACCACCCCCCGGGGGAGAGCAGTCCGCGTCCAAATAATCTGTTGTTTTGAAGGAAACATCCCTGGACAATCCCACTACAAGAAGCGTGATAGCAATAGATGAGGATTCAGAGCACCCAGTTGACTTTGAAAAATGTAGAATTTTCTTCTTCATTGTCAGCTAATTATAGTGTAGATGAGGCTTGGCCAGCAATCCAGGCTACATGCCACAGGTGGAGAGCCATACAATCTCACAGATATGACTAAACACTGGTGGAAATTTTGATTTTTACTTGGATACACTGGAGTAATGAAAGGGT